GGGGTGGATAAAAACACCCTGCCACTAATAGGGTTAAAGGTAGTGTGCCAGCTTTCCTGGGCCATATGGAGTTAATGACCCGGATAAGGAGAACCGGATTTTTAGAACTTATCCATACCTTCAAAACTCATGGAAAAGTCTTACTTCAAATTTTGAGTACCCCAGTGCGAAATTCGCCCCGAGCCCGACGGGTTGTCGGTCGTACCCTAACCACATTTCACACCACTATGAACAATGAATGCACACGCTAAAATCGCTATTACCGTAGGCTCATCCAATCAAGTTTCGATAAACCCGTTCATCATCATCTCCTGCGATTTCGTCTTATCTATCTCAAGGTTGCCCTCCAGGCGGCTCTAAACTATGGCAACTTTCCCTATCTTCAACATGTAAATGCCCTCGGGCGTCCTCGTGGTGACGTAGGCACGGGAGTGCCAGGTTGGTAGGAACTAGGAACTAGACTTCGACGCCCCCTGGGTGAATCGAACACCAGTCTGCCCCTGACGTGTCTTCTTTTTTGCCTGTCTGGCGACAAACATAACCAACTGCGACGTGCATAAAGTTGCATTATATTCACATTCAGATTCGCGTGCACATTCGCGGACCCCTCAGATTTGGCTCAAAATTGCACAGCTTATAGATTTTGAGCTCCTGATTGCGAAAATCATGTTTTTATTTCACGCCGTCAAGTGGTTCTCAAAATATTCACATTTGTATTACTGCTAACATATTCTGGACCGTAACCCTTATTGGAAAAATCGGACCCCTCCAAACTTTTTAAAAACTCGTGAGTTGATGTAAACATAAGCGCTGATCCCAAAAAACTAGTTTGTATTTAACGCCGTCCCATAGTTTTCTCAGGATGAGCATCTAAAGTTCAAGGTCGTTCGAGGTCATGTACCTTTTCTCACATTTTGGCGCTATTTGACACGTGACAGCTTTATATTTATGATGGACATTCGCACTACCTCCTACAAAAACAATATACTGAAATCCAAGGGGCGTTGCTGTACCAAAATGTAAAAAAAGCGTCAAAACCTCTTTCATACAGCTAACAGTTAAATACAAGGGATATTCAAATTTGCCACAGATAAAGCAAATTTGTCGGACATGGTCGGACCCCTCCGATATCGTTCAAAATCTCAGGAATGATGTTCCTTGACCTCCTGAACATGAAAATGGCACTCCCTTTGAACGCCGTCAAGAACTTTTCCAGACATACGCATCCATGCACATTCAAATTGCATAGGTGTTGCATATGCACGTTCGGCGGACCCCTCCGATTTCGTTCAAAATCTCAGGAATGATGCTTCTCGACCTCCTGAACATGAAAATGACACTCCTTTTGAACGCCGTCAAGAACTTTTCCAGATATACGCATCCATGCACATTCAAATTGCATAGGTGTTGCATATACACGTTCGGCGGACCCCTCCGATTTCGTTCAAAATCTCAGGAATGATGCTCCTTGACCTTCTGAACATGAAAATGGCACTCCCTTTGAACGCCGTCAAGAACTTTTCCAGATATACGCATCCATGCACATTAAAATTGCATAGGTGTTGCATATGCACGTTCGGCGGACCCCTCCGATTTCGTTCAAAATCTCAGGAATGATGCTCCTTGGCCTCCTGAACATGAAAACAGTACTCTCTTTGAACGCCGTCAAGAACTTTTCCAGATATACGCATCCATGCACATTCAAATTGCATAGGTGTTGCATATGCACGTTCGGCGGACCCCTCCGATTTCGTTCAAAATCTCAGAAATGATGCTCCTCGACCTCCTGAACATGAAAATGGTACTCACTTTGAACGCCGTCAAGAACTTTTCCAGAGATACGCATCCATGCACATTCAAATTGCATAGGTGTTGCATATGCACGTTCGGCGGACCCCTCCGATTTCGTTCAAAATCTCAGGAATGATGCTCCTCGACCTCCTGAACATGAAAATGGTACCCCCTTTGAACGCCGTCAAGAACTTTTCCAGATATACGCATCCATACACATTCAAATTGCATAGGTGTTGCATATACACGTTCGGCGGACCCCTCCGATTTCGTTCAAAATCTCAGGAATGATGGTCCTTGACCTTCTGAACATGAAAATGGCACTCCCTTTGAACGCCGTCAAGAACTTTTCCAGATATACGCATCCATGCACATTCAAATTGCATAGGTGTTGCATATGCACGTTCGGCGGACCCCTCCAATTTCGTTCAAAACCACAGGATTGATGCTCCTTGACCTCCTGAATATGAAAATAGTACTCTCTTTGAACGCCGTCAAGAACTTTTCCAGATATACGCATCCATGCACATTCAAATTGCATAGGTGTTGCATTGTTGCATATGCACGCTCGGCGGACCCCTCCGATTTCGTTCAAAATCTCAGTAATGATGCTCCTTGACCTCCTGAACATGAATATGGTACTCCCTTTGAACGCCGTCAAGAACTTTTCCAGATATACGCATCTATGCACATTCAAATTGCATAGGTGTTACATATGCACGTTCGGCGGACCCCTCCGATTTCGTTCAAAATCTCAGGAATGATGCTCCTTGACCTCCTGAACATGAAAATGGTACTCCCTTTGAACGCCGTCAAGAACTTTTCCAGATATACGCATTCATGCACATTCAAATTGCAATTTAAATGTGCTTGGATGCGTATACCTAGAAAAGTTCTTGACGGCGTTCAAAGGGAGTACTATTTTCATGTTCAGGAGGTCAAGGAGCATCATTCCTGTGATGTTGAACGAAATCGGAGGGGTCCGCCGAATGTGCATATGCAACACCTATGCAATTTGAATGTGCATTGATGCGCATATCTGGAAAAGTTCTTGACGGCGTTCAAAGGGAGTACTATTTTCATGTTCAGGAGGTCAAGGAGCCTCATTCCTGAGATTTTAAACGAAATCGGAGGGGTCCGCCGAACGTGCATATGCAGCACCTATGCATTTTGAATGTGCATGGATGCGTGCGTATATCTGGAAAAGTTATTGACGGCGTTCAAAGGGAGTACTATTTTCATGTTCAGGAGGTCAAGGGGCATCATTCCTGTGATTTTGAACGAAATTGGAGGGGTCCGCCGAACGTGCATATACAACACCTATGCAATTTGTTTGTGCATGGGTGCGTATATCTGGAAAAGTTATTGACGGCGTTCTAAGGGAGTGGCATTTTCATGTTCAGGAGGTCAAGGAGCATCATTCCTGAGATTTCGAACGAAATCGGAGGGGTCCGCCGAGCGTGCATATGCAACACCTATGCAATTTGAATGTGCATGGATGCGTATATCTGGAAAAGTTCTTGACGGCGTTCAAAGGGAGTGCCATTTTCATGTTCAGAAGGTCAAGGAGCATCATTCCTGAGATTTTGAACGAAATCGGAGGGGTCCGCCGAACGTGTATATGCAACACCCATGCAATTTGAATGTGCATGGATGCGTATATCTGGAAAAGTTCTTGACGGCGTTCAAAGGGAGTACCATTTTCATGTTCAGGAGGTCGAGGAGCATCATTCCTGAGATTTTGAACGAAATCGGAGGGGTCCGGCGAACGTGCATATGCAACACCTGTGCAGTTTGAATGTGCATGGATGCGTATATCTGGAAAAGTTCTTGACGGCGTTCAAAGGGAGTACTATTTTCATGTTCAGGATGTCAAGGAGCATCATTCCTGAGATTTTGAACGAAATCGGAGGGGTCCGCCGAACGTGCATATGTAACACCTATGCAATTTGAATGTGCATTGATGCGTATATGCGTATATCTGGAAAAGTTCTTGACGGCGTTCAAAGGGAGTACCATATTCATGTTCAGGAGGTCAAGGAGCATCATTACTGAGATTTTGAACGAAATCGGAGGGGTCCGCCGAGCGTGCATATGCAACACCTATGCAATTTGAATGTGCATGGATGCGTATATCTGGAAAAGTTCTTGACGGCGTTCAAAGAGAGTACTATTTTCATATTCAGGAGGTCAAGGAGCATCAATCCTGTGGTTTTGAACGAAATTGGAGGGGTCCGCCGAACGTGCATATGCAACACCTATGCAATTTGAATGTGCATGGATGCGTATATCTGGAAAAGTTCTTGACGGCGTTCAAAGGGAGTGCCATTTTCATATTCAGGAGGTCAAGGAGCATCATTCCTGAGATTTTGAACGAAATCGGAGGGGTCCGCCGAACGTGCATATGCAACACCTATGCAATTTGAATGTGCATGGATGCGTATATCTGGAAAAGTTCTTGACGGCGTTCAAAGGGAGTGCCATTTTCATGTTCAGGAGGTCAAGGAGCATCATTCCTGAGATTTTGAACGATATCGGAGGGGTCCGACCATGTCTGACAAATTTGCTTTATGTGGGGCAAGTTCGAATATCCCTTGTATTTAACTGTTAGCTGTTTGAAAGAGGTTTTGACGCTTTTTCTACATTTTGGTACAGCAACGTCCCTTGGATTTCAGTATATTGTTTTTGTAGGAGGTAGTGCGAATGTCCATCATAAATATAAAGCTGTCACGTGTCAAATAGCGCCAAAATGTGAGAAAAGGTACATGACCTTGAACGACCTTGAACTTTAGATGCTCATCCTGAGAAAACTTTGGGACGGCGTTAAGTACAAATTAGTTTTTTTGGGATCAGCGCTTATGTTTACATCAACTCACGAGTTTTTGAAAAGTTTGGAGGGGTCCGATTTTTCCAATAAGGGTTACGGTCCAGAATATGTTAGCAGTAATACAAATGTGAATATTTTGAGAACCACTTGACGGCGTGAAATAAAAACATTATTTTCGGAATCAGGAGCTCAAAATCTATAGGCTGTGCAATTTTGAGCCAAATCTGAGGGGTCCGCGAATGTGCACGCGAATCTGAATGTGAATATAATGCAACTTTATGCACGTCCAACTGCGTGGGTTTTCCTCACACGCACCCGCGCACAGACAAAGGAAGCGAGAGCGGCATTCCGGCTCAAGTGGCTGCCGCGGCCGGTGGCTTACCGTACGAAGCCCAGCGAGATGGTGTCCTGTTTGGAGGTCCTCTCGGCCAGCCGGCGGGGTGCCGACCACTTGTCCCGCGGCACCAGATACACGTGCAGCTCGGCCATCTGCAGCAGACACGGCCAGAACGGTACAGCAGCGATCGCAGCAGATACACACAGCTCCGCGTATATCACGGTCAGTCCCCAGCACTTGACGCCCTCGTTGTCGGTCACCAGTCTCTTAGGCGCATCTACTCGTATATAAGGTTGCCCCTCACTGTGAACGTGTTTTTGAACACAGCACGAGAATTGCTAGCTGAATTACTGAAAAAAAACTGGTTGGCCCACATTGATTTCACCAAAGTTCACAGATGATCAATTTCATCAAAATTATTTACGATTTCACACTGATAGCTAGTAGTTGCCCATACCTACAGCCCCACAGGGAAAGACGACTTCTCAGGAATTATGTCGGAACTAATTAAAAAATTGCACGGCGTTTAACATAACGTATCATCGTCTGTGCAGGCCCATGTCGTCCCCTATCTCCCTGTGTGTCCAATAGCACAGATGACGTCACACGAAGGGGCGGAGTCGGGGGCGGAGCCTAACGCAACGGCCGCCATATTTGAATTTGTTTTATAAGAATATATTCTATATTTTGGGTTTCAGCCAATGGGGTTGGGAACTCGATTTTTTAAGAATGCATGAAAATGATCAAACTATTTTCACAGAATTTATGGTGCATACCATTGCCTCATAAAATGAATAAGCTGAGAGAAATGGGGGAAGAAAGATAGGAAACTTGTTTCGAAAAGTTCTTGAAAAAAGATGCTCTTGATGCTGTTACGTCACATGTCACCTTCTGCGGTTGACAAATAATGGCGCATCTGGCGCACCACAGATTACATGTTATATCAATGGGTGAAAGATGTTTGCTTCACTCTGCCATTCGCGCTGTTTTTACTTTAAATTATGCTAAAACATTTACGGATGAAATGTTCAGTGTCAAAAATTGATGTGTCTGCCGTGTACTATATTCCCACTTAACATGAGCGCGTGATAAACATTTTATGTACCTCGAATTTTCAGATGATAAAGATGATGAATCGGAGGATGCTGAAAAGCAAAAGCTCATTCCAATATTTGGACTACTTTGCGATTAAAATGTTTACATTCCTGTCCTCTTATTGATCATTTATGTGTTCTTTTTTTATGAAAATAACTTAAGGCGTTGAGAACCACGGACGTATAAATAAACTGGACCCGCAACCACCTCCATTCAGGTGAAGCCGACAAGGCGCCATCTTACGTTGCCAAAAACCCGTGCTCTGAAGGGTCATCGAGCCAATACAATTGGAATTGCGTCTAAACGGATGATCGTATCGAGATGCTGGTGGTACCGTTCGACGGGTAATGCTTTGAGGCAGGTGATGATGCATGTCACAGGTCATTCGGTGTCACGTGGCGCGTGCCACGTGCCGACAAAGTTAGGAAGGGCAAAAACCTTTAAGCGACGCTCCAAATTAAACGGTGGGCGGCACAGGTGCCAAATTCACAGGTCACACGTCCCGGTGTTCGACCATTAACATATGTTATGCTCGGCAGCAGGGGGTGCGGAATGCACGCGCCAGGGGCGAAAAACATGTTTTGAGGAGGCATCCTCCGATTCCGGAAAACCTTGACCTAGGCACACCAAATTTGGCACACTGACACGACTGGACGAGCGCTTTAAGGCGCTGTACAAATAGATGTGCTGAGGTACACAATGCACGTGCTGTGCACGTGCAAACCTTTTGACGTTGCACTCTGTGTCACATATACGGCAGAGCGGGTAGCGCTAGCAAGCTCAAAGTGCCAAATTTACACAGGCCATCCAGAATGCATTCCCGCATAGTTATTGAGCATATCCATCTCCTGGTGGACCCCGAAGGTGCGCTCTGCACGTGCAAAAAATTGTGCGCGCTGGGCGTTGGGATGCTTGGACACCCCATGTGGATTTATGTAAATATCTCGAAAACGGCGTTGTGTAGCGCCGTCGTTTTTGGCACACCTTTTCATACATCTTTTTCACACATGCTGCGTAACTTTCAGACTTAGGTCACTCAAGGTTAGGTCATCAGGTTACGTCCAAGTGACCTTACCTTAGGAAAAGTTATAGTGCCCGTCATAGCTACACAGACTGAACAATTGGTCTAAAACGTTGGCAGCGATTACTAAGAGCACCACAAAACGTAAAGTACCTCTACCTCGGAATTTCACTGTCACTGACCTAGGGTTCTGTTGATTTTGCGACCTGATAGGTAAGTCAATGGGAGACAATTAAACTGCGCTTCCGTTGCACGAAACTCATATAAACATACTAAACAATGCACTCAAATAACGGGACACGGGTAGCAGAGAAACGTGACAAATTCAGTCGGGAAATTGCACCTGTGACTTCTACTTATGTCCTGGGGTTATTTCAGGTCATGATAGCCCTCCACAAGATTTTGACAGTAACCTTCGGTAGAGACATGCAAGAGCGCTGAAAACACTTTTGATATGTATACTCGTAGTTCAACTTCGTAAATTGAGTTTGTTGCGAGTTCTACGGGTCATTTATCAGGAATGTCATGTTTGTTTTTATCACAGCTGATGTTTTCATGCATTTAGGCCAGGTCGGGTCAGGTCAGGTCAGGTCAACCAGTAGGTGTCATGCCGCTTATCCATAGTGTCAACCACCACTGATGGCGTCGTAGCATGTTACGATCGAAGGCTCTAAAACTATAACTTCTTAAATGTTAAACTGAATGCTAAATTCGAAATCAGCTCCAAAAATTGTCCTAGGAACATGTAAAACTGGAAAAGGTGAACCAAGGTCATTAAAGGTCATTGACCTTGACCTAATTTTCACGTGACCTTGACACGCACCATATTGCATGTGACCAACATTATATCACATGTTTGAACGCTTGAAACCACGAAAAGACAGCAAACGCGCGGCTAGTGCGCGCCGACATACGCCGAATAGCGATTCCGGCCAAATATGGTCTCGTAATAATAACTTAATATCAGACGCTGATTTACCGCTACTCAGTCAAGTTAGAACCATTTCTTGGCCGCGGTCACCGTCCAGGCCACCACATAATCGTATTACACCGCGCTTGCTCAATGCTCAATTCGTATTGTAAAAGCACTGCGGCACAGCATAGATGCAGGCGCTCTGCTACTGCCATCTATGGGTGAAAGATGAAGATAATGGTTATTGCGGTACAGTATCACTACAGGCGCAAACAACGTGGAAACAAAGATGCCTATGCTGGGCTACCGGGCGATGGTAGCGTAAATTTGCGTTGCTGGGTAGCTAAAAGTTTTGGAGCCCGAATTAACGTAACCTGATGACCTAACCTTGAGTGACCTAAGTCTGAAAGTTACGCAGCATGTGTGAAAAAGATGGATGAAAAGGTGTGCCAAAAACGACGGTGCTACACAACGCCGTTTTCGAGATATTTACATAAATCCAAATGGGGTGTCCAAGCATCCCCACCGCCCGGCGCGGACAATTTTTTGCACGTGCAGAGCGCACCTTCGGGGTCCACCAGGAGATGGATATGCTCAATAACTATGCGGGAATGCATTCTGGATGGCCTGTGTAAATTTGGCACTTTGAGGTTGCTAGCGCTACCCGCTCTGCCGTATATGTGACACAGAGTGCAACGTCAAAAGGTTTGCACGTGCACAGCACGTGCACCGTGTACCTCAGCACATCTATTTGAACAGCGCCTTAAAGCGCTCGTCCAGTCGTGTCAGTGTGCCAAATTTGGTGTGCCTAGGCCAAGGTTTTCCGGAATCGGAGGATGCCTCCTCAAAACATGTTTTTCGCCCCTGGCGCGTGCATTCCGCACCCCCTGCTGCCGAGCTTACCATATGTTAATGGTCGAACACCGGGACGTGTGACCTGTGAATTTGGCACCTGTGCCGCCCACCGTTTAATTTGGAGCGTCGCTTAAAGGTTTTTGCCCCTCCTGACTTTGTCGGCACGTGGCACGCGCCACGTGACACCGAATGACCTGTGACATGCATCATCACCTGCCTCAAAGCATTACCCGTCGAACGGTACCACCAGCATCTCGATCCGATCATCCGTTTAGACGCAATTCCAATTGTATCGGCTCGATGACCTTTCACAGCACGGCTTTTTGGCAACGTAAAATGGCGCCTTGTCGGCTTCACTATCTTCCATAGGAGGTCCATTGGGATCGTCAGTCCAGTTTATTTATACGTCCCTGTTGAGAACCGAGGTAATTTCTATCTACTGTGCCTTAACTTACCAGCAACAGCAATCTATCTACGCCCTACGGTGGCAAGGGAGACTGTGAAAGAAGCGTAAGATGGATTCTAAACAATTCTTTTGTGATATACTGAAGGGCAAAGTGCAGAGAAGAGCATACAAGTCCTGTTTTGTGCCAGGCTGTTGCAGTAGGACTTATGAAACTACGAAAACGATCTTCGTTCATGTCCCGAACAACATTACCCTGAGGAGATGATCGTCTGCAATAGCAGGAAGAGCTGATGCAAGTACTTTGAAATCCACTATCAAGTCGGTGCTATTGTTGTAATGATCACTGTGAGGTGAGATATTTTGTGCAAGGGCTGAGTGTAATGCCCAGGAAATGACCTCCATTCGCCCCCTGACCGGTCAGGGTTATACAATTTGAGTGGATGGCGGCCCGTTTGGGGTTCAGATGTCAATTGTATTTTGTTACTGTCAAACAATACATGTTATGCTGGCAGCGAATGTGTGTAACGTAGTTTTTCGAAACAGAAGTTAGAACTGTAACGGCAGAGTGCTTGCTGGTCTCATCGTAAGTATTGTAAGTGTTGTAAGCAAAAGCATTGTCAATATTGTAAGTATTGTGAGCATTGATGTATGGTAGATATCACCTCACATGATCTCGGCTCAGATAACCCTCTCCGGTGTCCCTGTCAGTAAATGGCACCTGGATCATTACAGATAAGATAATTTATCATAATTCTTAAAGAATTGGGTGGTTTTGACTCTTTTACTCGAGGTGCAGGTCGCATTTCAATACTTTTCCATAGGCTTGCAATGTAAAGGTCACGACTCTGACCTAACCTCAGGT